TATCATTCCATTTTCCAGAAAGCAAACTAAGGTCCCAAGAGGGGAGATGATCTGCCCAAGGCCATGCCTCAGTGCAAGGCTGAGCCCAGTGTGACTAGGGGTTTGGGCTGCAGACCCCTGCTGTGATCATGGCTCCCCTCCTCCCAGCATGTTCATCTAGGACCTCTGAGCACCGGGCCACACAGGGCCGGCAAGATAGACCACCCCCTCGCGCAATCATTCCGTGGGATCACAGGTGCACGGCACAAAATGAGAAGGTGAAACCAAGACTTTTCGATGAGACACTTAGCCATTGGTTGTCCCTGACGGCTGGGGACGGAGTGTCCCCAGTCTCCCACCATGCTGTCCCCCATCATGGGAGCCGCCTCACATCACTGCTCGCCTCTGCACCAGGGCCTCTGCCAGACGCCTCCCCTCCTGGGCAGCCACCCCTGTGCCCCAAGACAGCAGCCCTCCTGGCTGACACCCAAGCAGCATCACACTCCAGAGGAGCCAGAACAGAGCTGGTGGCCCCAAGATGCATGATGCATACCCAGGGTATCTTCGTCCTGACACAGCAGGCGGGCAGCGCTCCGTCCCACGGGGAGAGGCAGTCCTGGGGCAGCTGAGTCTGGGCAATGTTGCGTCTGCCACAGGCAAGCCTGGAGCTGGGGCGGCCTCTTAACGGTAGAAGCTTGGGAGTGTGCAGTCTTGTGTTTTCTGCTGTCGCTTAGTTTGCTTCAGGGATGACACACATAGAGGAAAATGCATGTACCTTCCTTTACAACTATTCTTGGGATACAAACATGTGGCTAGTCAGTCTTTGAAAAGACTGGCTTGTACTTGCTGAAGGCTACACTCTGGAGGGGGTGACCTGCCTCTGTGTTACTGCAGCCTGAGGCCTCCGGGAAGCAGGGGCCCAGGGGATGCCGCGTGAGAAGCCTGGCTGGACCCCACCCTGCAGCTGGAGCCCTGAGCCCTGGGAAGCCCGCTCCACTCTTCAGTGAGACCCGCACATGTCGGCACTCCCTCGGCCTCTGAGCATGGTGCCACCGACGTCATACACAGATCCCCACCTCCGGCCACTGAGCACGTCAGTCCAGGTGTGCTCGTGGCCCAGCCCTGCTCTTGTTGTGGCAGCAGGGAGCATGGCCTTCCTCCACTGGCCACCCCACCGCCTGCACGTCAGAGCCCTGCCCAGCTGCTGACCCTCCTTCTGTCGTCTCCTACAAGAGCTCACCTCTCTCCATGGGACATTTCCCTTCAATCTCCAGCTGAAAAGGAAATACAGGGAGTCCCCTACATACGGAGGCGTTCTGAGAGTGCATTTGTAGTCCTATTTGTCCGTAAGTCTGACAGAGGCAGCCTAGGCACCCAGCTAACACAAGTGGCCGTGCAGTACCAGCTACATCCCCGCTGCTTTTACACTTGCTTGCAGACATCCTGGGCTTGAATTAAAGATCCTGTACAACCATGCTCTAGACAGTCCTGCACAGTAATGTACACAAAAGCACAACCATGTGTAGAGGGTATGTACACGTGACAATGGACCCCAGACATGTGAACCAACTTATATGACTGGCCATGTGAATGCATGTTTGCTTCTTCGAAAGTTCGCAACTTGAAGGTTCGTATGTGGGGGACTTACTGTACAACAAAAAGCTCTCCCTTGCCCTCGCAGCTCCACCTACCAATCACCCTGCCACTTCTCCACAGGCAAGCACCTGGACACAGCTGTCTGCAGCGGCCATCTCCATCACCCCCACCACTTCCCATTTCTTCATAATCTGCCTTCCATTGTCTCGACGCCCTGGTGTGGCTCTTGCTGATGTCACCAAAGCCCCGATGACAGGTCCCGTGTCAACGGCATGGATCGCAGGCAGCGCCTGATGTGGCAGGACAGGATTTTCCTTCTCTGGGCCTCTCTTTAGCCTCCCCCTCACCTTTTCCTCCTCTTGCTCATCCTTGGGGTCCCGGCTTAAAAGCCACCGCTGGGCAAAGCCAGTCCGTGCCCCATCATTGCCCAGCAGACATTTCTGGATCTGCCAGGCACAGCATGGATCACTGTCACCATGTTGCATGTAGGTGTGGGGAGCCATTACTGGACGACGTCCTGACTAGACTGGGCCTAGGAGGACAAGGACTGAGGCCCACTACCTGCTTGCCACAAGTGCCTGGGGCCAGGAGGCACTCAAGCCTTTGTTCAGCAGGTAAATGGAGATGCCCTGGCCCAGGATCGCCTTTCATGAGATCTTCAGATGCTCTCCAGAAGGAGTGTGAGCAGGAAGACACAGAGCAGGACAGCTCATTGCCAGTACACAGGAGGACCTGGACCCACAGGCAGACCCGTAGACACAGGGTTCAGCGGTGGGCCCAGAAGGGCTGTGAGCCCCTAGACTCCAGAGCCCCGGGAGCCCAGGGAGGGCCACTCTTCACATGTGTCCCTGACACTGACCCCACCACTTGCATTAGACTCCTATCCTGAGCATCTAAGCACATGGGAATCCGCAGGGCAAGGAAAAATCCCTGAGGACGAGTTGAAAGAAACCCAAAGTAGAAGAAATGAAAACACAAGGCGCCTTACATAATTTCCCCCAAAGACTTCCAAATCTCTTTGAGGAGATTAGTGTGTTCTGGAACTATTCCCAAGCACTGAGCCAAAGGCAGCAAACTTTCCTTCACAGAGATAAGGTTTAACGCGCACCAAAGCCCACGACTTGAAGGACTATAAGTTGTGCACACGGCGTTTCGGACTGTAATAAATAATTCTTTTTTCTTAGCTTTCTAAAAAGTATCATTTATGGGGAAACATCTCTCTCTCTCTACATATAAATTAAACGAGTCCGTTTTCTTTTCAAAACTATAACTTACCAAGGACTTTGCAAGACACTGAAAGTTACAAATGAGATCTACGTTCAAAGGCAAATCTGTGCTGTCTAAGCTTAACCAGAACCCCAAAGGCAAAAAATTCCAATGCCTCAGACTTCTGACTAGATTATATTACATTTAAACCCGATAAATGGAAAGGAAAAAACTCGACAGCTTTCCAACTCTAAGCTGGGAAATACTGACGTCTTTATAAGTCTCTGTGCGGTACTTTGAGGTGAAGGGCATCGTCTTAACCAGCCTCCAGAAACATCACTGAGCTGACCCACCAGCGACACTCAGTCACTGCCTGTTAGTGGCAAGAGAACACGCACTGTCACAGGCCGTGTACCTGCATGAAGACGCCTTTTCAGTGTCTCGTCTATGCTAGATTTCTAGAGTGCTCGTTAAGTAACGAATGTTAAAGCAAACAACACAAAAAAAGAGTCAGTATGTGGGACAATTAGATAGCTTGGCTTTGTTCAGGGAGACAGCAGAGTGTGGTGGAAAGACCCAGTCAGACCTGGGTCTGAACACTGTCTCCGCCATTGACCAGTCAATAATGGAAAGGTGTTAGCCTCTCTGGACTTTAGGTTGATGATAGGATTACCAGAAACAATAAAAAATAATAAATATATAAATAAGTAAAACCACCTGCACTGTGACTGACAACAGGCGTTCACTGTTACATTTGTTATTTGTGATGACTTATCTGGTCAATGCTTACCTATTATGAAAATGAGGATCAGTATGCATTTCCTATAAATGCTGGAAAGAGTTTTCCAACTTTTTTGCTTTTCAGATGAAGAATACAAAGCAATGCAGTTTGGTAAAAGACATACTAATATGGACTGGAAAACTCCATGCTACTCTTGGAAAGAGAAATACTATGTGACCTCATCAAATGACTCAATGACTTTCAATTCGTCCAGAGGGGACTTTTGTCATAGAAAGAAGCAAGAGGACAGATCCCATGCATTGGAAATTACATCAAAACAAGGTCCCCAAGGTTCCCCAGCAGAGCATGGTGCTTATGTCTGTCAGCCTAGCACTTTGGGAAGCAGAAGCAAGAGGATTGCCTGAGCCCAGGGGTTCGAGACCAGCCTGGGCAACTTGGCTAGATCGTGTCTCTACAATAAATCAAAAAATAAGCTGTGTGGTGTCTCACGCCTGTGGTTCCAGCTACTTGAAGGCTGAGGCGGAAGGATCACCTGAGTCCAGCAAGTCGAGGCTGCGGTGGCTGTGAGCATGCCACTGCACTCCAGCCTGGGTGACAGAGTGAGACTTCGACTCAAAAAACAATGTTCCTGAGAAAGGCAGAGGCTGCCTGTGCACGGGATAGAGCACTCTCCTGTGTGCTGTGAAGCACAGCTCGTCAAGCCCTGCCATGGTCCTGACAAGTGTCCCTGGGAGTCCCCCTGCCCATTCCCTTCCTGTCCCACCCCGTGGGCTTATATCAACTAAGCTTGTGTTTAGGATTCAGAAGAATGAGAGTCACTCTCCTTCTGACTCAAGGTCAATGCTGGCTGACAACTGGTAGCCAGTTCCCCTTCTCTCTAAGGAAAACATATCATCAAAAAGATGACCTGATGCTCCTCCCAAGAGGAAAAGGTGCCACTGTCCCACTCACAGTCATATTCCCAGGATGCAGCAGGCTCGCTCTGCTCATTTACTTGTTAAATGAGAAAAATGAGGGAATGAATGAAGTGAACCAAGATTCCACGTGGCGACTCATTGATGAGGACAGGTGACTCATGGAGAGAATCTTTTCTAGAAAGGCAGAGAAGCCACCACATGACCGTGCCTGGGGACTGAGAAGAGGAAACCTGGGAATTAGTGGGGCCACAGCCCCAAGACATCACCCGCTGGGATCTCGCCCACCTGGTCCCTGTAAGTGCCTGTGTTAGGATCTAGAAGGAAGGCAGGAATGTGAACACAGAAGAACATCAGCAAAAGGTCTGCATTTCACTCTGAGCGTCAAGTCAGTGGACACAGTTTGCTGACCGAGGCCCACAGTGAAAGAAGCCTGATCAAAGAGTGCACACCGTAAGCCCCATGGGAGATGGAGATGTGGCATTTTCTGCCAATTGAAGGTTTAAATGTGACATTTTCAACAGGTCACAGCACCTGGCCTCTGCTCCAGGGCACTCACTCACAGTGTGGCTCATAGGGCGGGGCCGGGTCTCCACAGGGCACGCACTCCAGGTCCTGGAAGCCAACGAGCTTCGTCTTCCTATAAAACCTAGAGGAGAAAGGGAGATATCCTCGTCAGCTCTTCCATCTAAGCACACAGTTACAGTCACACACAGTCAGCAATCTCCATGGCCAGGTCTAAAGTGTAAGAAGAAAAAAGGTATTATGATTGCTAGACAGACACATCCTTGGAGGGGAGGCCTGAGTCCAGAGGAAACATCAGCTCCACCAAACACAGTTTCACAGAGTCCCCCCAGGGCACACTTTTTCTATACTGGGGTGGGTGCAGTGAGAGAATATAAAATCAGTGGTTGTGGCATTTCTGCTGTAAGTTAGACTATACATTATTAGTAAGAAAAGTGATGGTTGGAATTCAGGGAGCAAAAAGCCAAGCAAACCATAGAAGCAATGGAAAAATTAGAGAGCTCCTCATGCAATCTTGACATGGGGATGTCTTTCTAGGCATGATAAGAAACTAAGGAGCCGAAGTGGACCAGAATAAAGGCTTTGACCACAAAAGCGGGGCGGGGGCAGGGGGGAGAGAGAGAGAGAGAGAAGAGTTTAAAGACATCTGAAGGGTAAAAATAAATAAAGTATCATCAACATAGTTAGCAAGCAAATGAAAATTGACAAACTGTTCTAATGACAGGACTGTCTGCACCTTGTCTATTTTTTAGGTAAAACTTAAAAATCATGGCCATAAAAGTGAACACTGTAAGTGAAAGCAGAGAATATTCATTCCAATAATAAAAAATATTTTTAAACAATAAATATTCTTATTTACCAATGAAGATAAAAATTATGTACGTGTTTATATTTGCAATGAAAAACATCTGGAAGAATATTACATACTGAATATTAACAGGGACTATGTCTAGATGGTGGGACTCCAAGTGACTTTTTTTTCATATATATAACTTCTAACTTTTCTATGACAAAGGTAATTATATGAAGACTAATTTATGGATCATGTCTATAAGAGGACACAAAGATACAATTATTGTGTAAACCTGGATAACGTAGTAGCAAATCTGTATTATTTACGGTAAAAGCAAAATTTGCATTTGAAACTAGGTAACTTATCTCAGATGCCCAAATATATTCGGTAATTGTTCTACCTTCTATTTGAAAATCTGTCCAAAGGATATGTAATACAGTGACTTCCCATCAGATATTAATAAAATTATTCCTTTTGAAATGTATAAAGTAGAAATCAAAAAAGAACAAAGTTGGAGGATCCACACTTCCTGATTTCAAAGCATATCACACAGCCACAATAATCAAAACAGTATGTTACTGGCATAAAGACAAACAAACCAATGGAGTAGAAAAAGATCCCAGAAATAAACCCTTGCGTTTACAGTCAAGGTGCCAAGACCACTTAATGAGAAGAGAATAGGCTCTTTCAGAAATGGTGCTGGGAAGAGAGAATATCCATGTGCAGAAGAACAAATCTGGACCTCATCTTATACCATATGCAAAAATTAACCCTCCATGGACATAAGACCTAAAAGTAAGACCCAAAACTATTAAACCCCTGAAATAAACATAGAGGAAAGCCTTCATGACACTAGATCTGGCAATGATTTCTTGGATGTGACACAAAAGTACAGGCAGCAAAGCAAACATCAACAAATGAGACGACATTACACTTAAAATTTTTGTGCTCAAAGGACACAGAAACAGGGTGAAAAGAGAAGCAACGGAATGGGAGGAAATATTTGCAAGTCATGTGTTTGATAAGGGGTTAATATCTGTAATATACAAGAACTCCTATAACTCAACAACAAAAAAATCAAACAACTTGATTAAACAAGAGACTTGACTAGACATTTCTCCAAAGATGATACACACATGGCCAACAGGCATATGAAAAGACGTTCAATGGCTGGGCACAGTGGTTCACGCCTACAATCCCAGGACTCTGGGAAGCCGAGGTGAGAGGATTGCCTGAGCCCAGGGTTTCGAGACCAGCTCGGGCAACTCGGCGAGACCTCATCTCGACAATAAATCAAAAAATTAGCTGGGCATGGTGGCACGTGCCTGTAGTTCCAGCTACTTGGAAGGCTGAGGCGGAAGGATCACCTGAATCCAGCAAACCGAGGCTGCAGTGGCCGTGAGTGTGCCACTGCACTCTAGCCTGAGAGAGTGAGACTCCAAAAAAAAAAAAAAAGATGTTAAACATCACTCGTCAGCAGGGAACCAAAAATCAAAACCACAATAAGATATTAAGATAGCTACTATCAAAACAACAAACAAACACAAAACAAGGGTTGGCAAAGATGTGGAGAAACTAGAACCCTTGTACAATGCTAGGGGAACTGGAAAATGTGCAGCTCATGTGGAAAATGACACGAATGTTCCTCAAAATATTACAAACAGAACTACCACATGGATCAGCAATCCCACTTCTGGGTATAAACCCAAGAGAATTAAAAGCAGGACCATGAAGAGATATTTGCAGACCCATATTCACTGCAGACTATTCACAACAGCCAAGTGGTGGAACCAATCCAGATGTCCACTGGTGAATGAATGGATACACAGAATGTGTTATATACATGAAACAGAATATGATTCAGGCTTAACAAGGAAGGAATTCCTTTCACATGCCACAACAAGGTTGAACCTTGAGGACACAATGCTAAGTGAAACAAGCCAGTCATTCAAAAAGATAGACATGCCGGGCTCGGTGGCTCAGCCTGTAATCCCGTGCCTTTGGGAGGCTGAGGTGAGTGGATTGCCTGAGCCCGTGGGTTCGAGACCTGCCTGGGCAGCGAGACCTCATCTCTACAATAAACAAAAAAAAAAATCAGCCGGGCGTGGTAGCACATGTCTGTAATTCTGGCTACTCGGAAGGCTGAGGCGGAAGGATCACCGGAGCCCAGCAGGTCGAGGCTGCAGTGGCTGGGAGCGGCCACTGCACTCCAGTCTGGGCGACAGAGTGAGACTCCAACTCAAAAAAAAAACAAAAACAAAAAAAAGATAGACATTATGTGACTCCACTTATATGAAGTACTTAATAGTCAAATTCACAGAAACAGAAAGCAGGGTGGTATCAAGGGCTGGGGGAGTCGTTTAACCGGTATAGAGTTTCAGTTTGGGAAGATGAGAAAGTTCTTGAGATCTGTCTCACAACAATGTGAATAGACTTCACATTACTGAACTGTACATTTAAGAACAGGTACGGTAGTAAATTTTACATTGTGTCTTTTACAATAAAAATGCATATAAAATACAAAAAATCATAGGACAACAAAAGAAAGCCTCCTTTTTAAAGACTGTGTCACGCTAAACATTGTAACATATGCCAATTAGTATTTTTTATCCTTTCAGACCCAAACTTGCCCAATTATAAGCTGATTAAATACTGACAAAGGCTAAAATAGGTCTTTTATACATAAAGACTCATTTCATATAAAAAACAAAAAAGTGAAAGAATGTAATAGCCACTATTCTCAACAGCAAATATTGAGGATGTAAAAATACATCCTTTAACATTTTTTTAATTTTTAATTTTAAATGTGTGGGGTACAGTTCAGGGTTAGGTATACAAATGTTCATTATGCAGGTACCCTTGTGAATGAGTTGTGCCTCCCATTTTTTTCTAAGTAGAGAAATGTGGGAGTCAAATGCAGATATCATCTAACATTTTAGAAATAAGAAATTCTACTTGGGACAAAACAGTTTTGAGGGATGGGTTTTCCCTGACAATCAAACAACACGCACACACACTTGCCAAAAATATATTAAACTATATTATGAGCCCGAGAAACATGACACAAATAAGACTAGGTGGGCGAAACATGCCACATTTACCCATAAACACGAGCTAGAAACAATTAGAAATACTGACAAGGAGGGAGAGTGAGTGAAGTTCCTTGGAGCTGCTACCCACAAGAAGGGGTGCTTCGAGGTAGCCCTCAGAGCAGCCAGCAGCACTGGGACAGAAATCACACAAGCGCGCTCAGAATCAGCCTGCTGGCTTTTCTATCCCAGCAGCTGCAAGGCAGAACCTAAGGTTTTCTTAACCGCTACCAAGTTTTCAAAACCATCAGCTGACTCACTTTTTCCACTCCGTACAAAGAAAGATTAAAGTCAGAATCTTAAAGCACAGGATTATTGCTAAATTACTAATTACATAGGAATGATCAAAGACATTTTTTAATTTAAAAAAAGCCCCGACAAAACTATAATTCAACTTGGAGACAAAGATACAGAAATCATAGTTTTAAGATAAAGATAAAAACATCTATAAATCTTTGAAAGCTACCCCAGTTTCTCTCTATTTTGTTTAGACTGCCATGGCTTTTGGGACTTAGAAACATTGGTAACTTCATTTCCTGTCCAAGTGAGATGGGACACAAATGTTTTTTCAACCAAGTGAAATAAAAGGGAACAGACACATTATATAAGGTGTCTAGTTCAATTGCTTTCTACAGTCCAACGTTCAATTTTACCCTGGGATTTCCAATGCAAAAAAACAACAAAACAAAACAAACCACAGTGGATTATACTTAATCACCATTTGATGAAAGACAGCATCTCTATAAATACATCTTGTAGACCAAGGTCTTCCCTGATGGTGGATGTGAGAGGAATTTTTAATTGAACTGAACCCAAACAGCGCTGGTTTGCCTGATGAACACTGTGCTTGAAAACCACTGTTTTAAGAAAACCTGGTTGTGGACGATTCATGCTTCAGCCAGTGAGCATTTCTGCAAGAAGATGGTGTAGTATAGACCAGGTGGTATTGTACAGCCACCTTGCTCAGCACAGTTTTGTTTTGTTTTGTTTTTGAGTTGGAGTTTCGCTCTGTCACCCAGGCTGGAATGCAGTGGCACGCTCATGGTCACCACAGCCTCAACCTGCTGGGCTCAGGTGATCCTTCTGCCTCAGTCTCCCAAGCAACTGGAATTACAGGCATGTGCTACCACGCCCGGCTGATTTTTTGACTCCTTATAGAAATGAGGTCTTACCAGGTTGGGCAGGCTGGTCTCGAATCCCTGAGCTCAGGCAATCCTCTCACCTCGCCTCCCAAAGAGCTGG